TTAAAAAATTATAAAGAGTTGGGCGAGTCAGAAACTAACAACAATTTTATGCACAAATATACACCTGATACTAATCCTAATATATTCCATTGGTTACATTCGTTTGATCTTGAAAATAAAAATTTTGAGATTCAAATATGATTGAGAGTCTTTCTATGTACATTAGGCTAACATTAAAGCTTTAAAAGATTTGGTCTGCATCACCTGACAAGCTTTTGGGTAACTTTTAACATTTCTGTTGTGGCCATCACCACTCACCGGTCTTGTCACTTAGCTCCAGCCCTGGCCTTGTGTGCACACGCTCACCATCACAGTGCTAGCCCCAAGAACCTGATTGTAATGTCTTTTTTATATTACTAAAAGTCAATTGAAATGTACTTATTTTCTATCATTTGTGGATGAGTAATGTGTGTCTCTCCCTACTTTTGTAGGGGCTATAGGCACCTGCCTTCATGACCACACTTTCACCCCCTGTCACTGATGCTATGGTCATGCAATGATGTAAGATTGGTTACCTGATGCACACACATTTGAAAGGGCAGAAACAAGGGTGCCTGTTGTGGATGGAGGCGCAGCTTGGCAGTGCTGCCTCCAGAGGAAAGCATTGTGTCCAGGGTGGCAGAGGCACAAAGGCCCAAGAGCTCTATCTTTCTTGTGTTTACCCACAGGCCAGCTCAGACAAACCCAGATCCTTTATTTGCACAAGGCCATGTGAGAGATCGGGGAAGGTGCAGCATACAGATTTCTCCCCATTCCCACACTTTTGGCTTGTAGTGGCACCTTCAAGAATCTGTAGGTTTCTACATAGGTTTGTGCTGGATTTCTTTTCTCCTGAGCCTGCCACAATGAATTTGTCCTTCCACAAACACCTCCAGTGTTGCCCACTGCCTTCTTGGCACAGACTCTGCTGCTTTGGGACACAACTCTTCCCACAGAGACTCTGCTCTTGGGTTGGAAGCCTCTGTTGGAAATACTTTGGATTGCTCCATGCCTGAAGCAGGAGCTGTTGGTTCCTCCATGATAGATGTACAACTGATTGATCAGAGATCCTAGATAAAAAGATTATTTCTTATATGCCATGTATCCATTTATGATCTTTTCCTAATTTGTGTAGGCACATGAGCCCCTAAGTACTCTGCTTTTCTCTCATGTTTAAATGGTGGTAAAGGACCTCCTCAAGTCAGTAGTTACCTTACCCCCCTTTTTGTGTGTCCTTATTGTTTCTCTTGTGGGATTCCACCATTGTTTTTGCTCTATAGTGGCATCCAATTGTGGTAGACTACTGTGAGTAGGGTAGGCACCAGTTATTATGGCCCTGGCCTATGACTACAGATTACCTACTGAGGAATGTGATGAAGAAATTAAAATAGAACAAGTTCCTTATTATAGTTACAAGGGAAACCATGATTGTAAAATCCCAAGGAAGGACTAACACCAATAAGCATGGATTCCCTGGCGTTTACTAGGTGCACAGCTTGTTGCTGGTATGCAAGTGGTCTGCAGGAAGGGATGGAGAAATAATACATTTTTGGAAAAGTGTACAAGAATAGGTAGTGGTAAACTAGTAACCAGCTTAACTGTTAACTGGATTACTGACAGAGAAGAAATTGAGCTAAGTAAAAGTCCTTAGCTTCTTTGTTATTTTGCTTTGAGTTGCAAAATTTCACAGAATTGATTGCTGATGTTGGTCCTATCCTCTGTTCTGGGGGTAAATTTCATGCAATGCCCCTTAGGCTTTGCCAGAAGTCACATAGGCCTAGAAAACAAAACTCTCAGTGGAATTTATCTTTCTGTCGATTTTGATTTTTAAAGTTGTTTTCTGATAAAGATTGCCACAGAAGGACCTTGCTTGTCAAACTGCTTGTATTGACTTGGTTGAAAATGTGTCTATCTCACTGTCTGTCCTTGTTCTTGGGGGATGAAGTAGGCATATCAGGTACACCTTGTGGGATGAAATTGTCACCCAAGAGTAGTCATTTTGGTGGAACCTTACAGAGGAGATCCATTCCAATCAAAGGCCTCTTAACATTTTTGTTGAACATGAGGAAGACTTTTGTGATGTTTGTGATACAGAAACACAAGAAAGCAATGCAATAGTGTAACATGTGCAGCCTCCCAGGCTCCACACATAGCTCCTTATTTGCTTCTGTTCTGTGGGAATCAATAGGGTTCCTTAGACTCTTGGTTCACTGCTTGATTAATGACTATGTCATCATTTAAGTCACCAGATCTCTTAGGTGTTCTCTAATCCTCAGAGAAAGTCACAAGTTTGTGAGAATGAAATACCAAAAAACATAGGGCTGGCCAAATAGCTCAGCAGATTAAAGCACCTGCAAGGGGTAGCAATTCTATTCTCAGACGGAGATGAGCTAGGAAACATGACAATGTTAAGCCATGCAGTTATATGTAAAAGATGAGCAAGGCAATGA